CTCTGGGTCCAGTCAGGGAAGACTTATCATGGGACATTAGGGGAAAGGTGGGCAGGTGGTTTATGGACACAGGGAGGGTCTACATCTATGGTTGGTGGAAGGTGAGTAGCCTAGGCAACTTCTATTGCAGAAAAAAATATAAAATAGATTTTAGATATTTATACTATGAGTTCTCCACCTCACATAGTGTGACAGATACTAGTTAGTTGTTTGCCAAATAATTCCCCTTCTCTCCCGGTCATAGAGTAGGGCCATTTTCCCAGCTTGCCTTCCAGTTGAGTCAATTTCACATCTGCGTTCTGGCCAGGAGGATGTGAGCAGAAGCAACATAAGCCACTTGCAGGCAGGTTATGACTCCCCTGTGTTCCACTCTGCTCTAATCCCTTTCTACTGGCTAAATGAGAAGCCCTTTGAAGACTAAGAGGAGGTTGGAGACATGAGATGGAAGAACCTTTGGTCTCTGGCTAACTGTTTGGGTCAACATGTGTAGGACTATAACTTAAGGGAGCAAATGCAAATACAGATCCATTGTGTTAAGCCATAGATTCTGTAGTTTGTAAATCAGCCTATTTGAGTAATAAACATTTTCTTTAGACTTTAGAGGTGGACACTTAAGACAAATTATTTGTCAGAGTAAAACTGGGAAATATAGCAACTTGTAACTTTTATCAGGTTTTGTTTTTGTTGTTGTTGTTGTTGTGCTTGAGTCAATGTGGGCAAACTTGGACTTCTGAATGCTCTGGGAACCAAGTATTTCACTTTTGTAGGTTTTGTCTTTTCATCTGGGGCTAGTAATCATACTGAGATGACGTCATGTCAAATTATCTACTTCCCTAGCCTAGACAACCTTTCCTGGTGGAGACCACTACTACATGAATTTCTCTTCTGTTAGGGAACTTTCCTTGCTTTTTTAAAAATATGGAATGTTATCCTTTTATAACAGCTTTTAAGCCCAAGGGAATGACAACAGTCTTCTAATTGCAAATTTTAATGAAGAACTATTTCCCCTACAATGCACATGTATGCACAACCTATCGAAATAGAAAAGCATCCAAAAAGTTACTGTTATAATTTTAAAAAATATTTTATGTAACAATGTCGACGAACAATAATAGGGACTCTGTTAGGTGGACCTACTCTTTCTGTTGTAACACAAGGACCAGTTTCATTGAATTATGTTTAATAGATCCCCCAAAATAGGCTCAGTAAGAAAACCTCTCTTCAGAATGTGACAGAACTTATACACTTTTCAACCGATTGTTTTAGATCATGGACCTCCAGCCCCTTTGTTTGCTGAAATATTAAGAGATCAAAACCTCAGAAAACCTCAGATTGAATTTGGTTTTATTCCACTTTTCTTTAGAGCTTTGATCTCCCCCTAGGAATTTATCAATAGTTTCATTCTCTTTCATTTTCTTTAGACTTGAGAAACTAAGTGGTGACATCAGGAAAATGTCATCTGGGTAAGCTCACAGCCTTCCTTTGAAGCAGCACATGTTCCCTGGGGCTATAGGAAAAGGCAAGCTAGCAGATATACCAGGATGTCTGTGGATAACTCATTCAAAGGATAAAAGAGACACATTCGATGCGTTCCTCTTATAAAACAACAATTGAAATGAATGCATAGATTTTTTCACCTTTAATATTTTCTCATGAGAAGACATCAAGATTTTCTTCTGCCATTGTAACATGTTAAACTAAATAAAGCTTGTATTATAGTGTGCTGATGTCAAAGGAAACACAAATGATATTTTAGGTATAGACGTTTTTTTAACCTGAAAAGTGATCTGAGAAATTAGAACAAGTGATAAAGATATATTATAGGCATCTAATAAGACTGACCTTTTGAAAAAGTCATCTTTAAAGTTTTACAGAGCACCTGGATTTTAGAGAAACTTCCTGAAACCATCATAATGGAACATCCCAGGGGTTTGCAGTACTTAGGTAAAGTAAAAAACTACAAAGGTAATTCTTTCCCCTCTGTAACTCAGCATGCTACAACCCTTTGCTATATGGGTATCTTTGTAACTCACATGAGTAGAAGATTGTAGTAGAACTTCTTTGATAAAGTCATTGTTTATGAATAAGATGTAAAGGAAGTAGTATGGAGGTGGAGAACATAGTCTTACTTTTTTGAAAATAGTGCTGTTTTGGGAAAATATGAACATTCTAGAGAATTTACCATTGCACAATAAATAGAAATATAATTGCTTGTCTCTTCATTACATGGATTTTTATATTCAGCTAAAAACAATTTGAAAAATGTAATAAAATTACATGAAACTTTTACTTGGAACTCAGTTGGGTCCCCCCCCCCCGTTCCCCCCGCCTCCCCAGTTAATTTAAGAAGCTTTCTGTGGAAAATTTTCTGATGAAAATTAAAATAAATCATATTAATTTCTAACTAAAGATACATATATAAAAGTTAGAAAATAAATTAGCCATGTAGAGTAATAACCAGTAGATGAAATGTATCCCATTTTCAAATGTTATTATATAATAACCTCATGACCTTTATTGTGATATGAGTTGAGTTTGATGTCTGGCTGGAAATTGGCAGCACTAGAATTTTGACAGAAATGTATCCATCCTTTTAAACTATGGAATTCAAAATATATTTTTTGTCTAAGTTGTTTAATGCTCATATGTGAAGTTCACTTGCAAATCTAAGATTTTAATTGGTTGTTGCTTTTATTGGGTAGATTTATGCAAGCATAATTCTACTAAAGTAGATACCACTATTAAGAAAAGTAATGATATATTTTTCCACCCTAGAAAATACATTTTAAATCATTTTAATCCACTACAAACATTTTGATAGTTTTTAGAGACCCCTCATAAAGCATTTTTTTTAAAAAAGCAATTGGGCAGTGTTTGAACATAGGGTAATAATTCATGCTAATTATATTGCTAAACATAAGGTCTTAGGCCTAATAATATATCATAATTCATACCATATGGTCTAATAGTAATTAAAATACATTAAATATATAGCAAATATACATAATTGTCAAAATCTGGCTTATGTGGAATAACATTCAGTGCTTTATTATCCATAATAGTACCTTTGTTTATTTTCTTGACAATGTTGTAATCATTAAATAATGATTCTGAGTGTGCCTTTAATACACACACAGACTTGGATTTTATTTCATACTGTCATGGCTATGCATGCTTTTGAGTCTTTGCTGATTTTTCTGTCATGTACGTAGAACAGGTACAATCAGACAGTTCTACTAAAGTAGTGGTATCTACTTTAGTAGAATTATGCTTACATAAATCTACCTAATAAAAGCAACAACCAATTAAAATCTTAGATTTGCAAGTGAACTTCACGTATGAGCATTAAACAACTTAGACAAAAAGTAGTGATTAACACGCACTGAAGTCTTCCTCCACTGAGGAGAAAACAAACACCTACACACAGAAGACCTTACTGACTTAGGAGATCATGTTTTAGGAAATGTTCAAGGGGTTTGCCCTTTAGCTCCAGGAGGTCAACAAGTGTTAGAGGAGGCAAGTGATTACTGGACAGAGTAAATATTTACTATTTCATGATGCTCATGGAACCTCTAGTAGGCGATTGTCAGGTTCAGCTCATGATGATACAAGCCCCAAACTGTGATCATGTCAATAGGAATAGCAAGTGTCCTTTGGATCCTCAGTGCTTGGGACTCCTTACTTCATGTAAGCTTTCCCTACATTGCTCTGCCATCAGTTTTACACAATGTTGTAGCCCCCTAAAGTCATTTAAATTTGAAGTTTTAAACATGTATTTCAATATAATCAGTAGCAAACTCATTAAAATGTCATGGACTTTGGCACCAGAATGATGAGGGTTTACATTCTGACAGCCTACTTCAAGCTCTGAGCTTCAATTTCAGGATGATGATTCACAGGTGATAATAATGACCATGGAGTCCTATGCCAGTATTAGAAATAATATAGAAGAGTCACGTCAAGTGCTCAGTACACATTTGAAACAAGTTTTCACAAGGTGTAATGCCTGAGAAGTTCACTGTTCATTCTGGTCTAATATACTGTGAGTGTTGGGGAGGGGCATCCAATTCAAACTTGAATTCAACCAAGGTTATTACGTGCCTACCATGTGCAGTGCATGGCCAAGGAAGCTGTGTATTAATTAAGGAAAGTTGGCTTCTTCTTTTGCTTAGTGGCTGAGGTTAGGAAGTCATATGCCAGGGAAATAGAGGAGGAAGAGGCAGGGTGTGGGGCTTGGTTGTTGGCTGGAGGTTTGGAGAATGCCTTCCTGTGATTGTTGGATGGTGCAGTTATTTGCCAGTTAGCCATGTATTAACTATGCTTTTTATTTTACTGTATTCTGATGCTTTGATATCTGGGCCTTGCTCTTCATGGAGATATTGTCCCTTCCAGGGCTAGCCAAATCCTGGAGAGAGTAAACAACTCCAACCAACCCAGAGCCCACACCTCAACCACATCTCTTATTGGCCTGTCCCACTTCAGGCCACACCCCTGCCTAGGACCCGGTACCAAAGAGCCAGGTTCAGTCTCTGCACCCCAGGGCCTGCTGAAATGATTCAAAGTCCTCCACTCCATGCCTGCATACTCTGCCTCACACATTCTTCCCCATGAAACCACAAAAAAACCTTCAAGAGTGAGAGTTCCCTCACTCCCTCTGCCTCCTGACCAATCCCAGTGCTTCTCCCTGTGGCCTCCCCTGAGCTTGGAGTGGGATTTGTATTAACAAACTGTCATCTCCTGACCTGTTTGTCTATTATTACTCCTAAACAATGAACATGTTATTTCTAAAACAGACATATGCCTGCATAAGAATTCTATCTAAATACGCATAAAGCTTCATTTGAAAACAAACTCCTAGAGCCTGAAGCTTGCAAAAATGTTGTGAGAAGAACATCATAAGGGCGCTGGATAAATGAGATTACTTAATTGCCCCTATGGCTCTGATCAGGAATCGGAAGCATTCCTTGTGGAAGATAACAAGAAGATAACAACAGCAGCAAATAAATAAAACCACAGAAGAACAGAGTCGTACCCTTTTATTGGCACAGTAACTTTTCAAAGGCTGGTATGAATAGAGAGTCCGAGTAGCCAGACACAATGGTCTGATGCCACCGCTTGGAACTTCCCGACAGCCCGCAGAAGCACATCAACAAACAGGCAGTTGCAGTACAGGAGGGTGAGGATATACAGCAGGTGAGCCATGCAGAGGAGCTCGGAGAGGACAATTGACTTGTGATGCAGCATTGCTGCTGAAACCAGTAAATCTCCACGTGCTTATTTGCACTGTGCAGACCTTTAAATGGGAATGGCCCTTTCCTCCCAACAGCTATGAAGTTGAAGCCATACCTGCAGACTGACACAAAATCTCCTGTAACCTATACTGAAGTCAGGGGATGAGATTTAACTGAAGAGCTCACAATCCACATATCCAGAAATACAGGCCACAGGAAGGAACTGCCTCCTAATCAATGAGTGAAATATAAAACATGGGACTTGGTCCATATAGATATGCAGGGCAAAGCTAAAACAACAGCAGAGTCCCCAGATTCTTAGATACTTTAGGTAAAAAAAAATGGTATGCAAAAGAAAAAAAATCTAGAAATAATTTTTAAAAATCTGTATTTTGAAGAAAGGGAGCACCACCAATTACATAAAGTTATAAAACACAGTAAGAAACATGTATATCATTTTCAGGTTTGTAATTACGATAAAACACAAATGCCTACAAAGAAATAAAAACACATGTCCGGTAGAGTATATTGTATTAAAACAATTGGAGTACGAGAAACATGTAGTCAGACTATATAAGAACAAGTGTATAGTGTGCATGAATCCCTCCTCTCCTCCACCCCTCTTTCCTCTCTCACCTCATCCATATCTTTTTATGGCCTTTCACTTGCTACATGGAAGTAGCATGGCCCTATCACCATGGAGCCTGGAAATTGGAGTGTATCCCCATGGAATGGGTAAGAAAACACACGCACACACACACACACACACAGTCACACACACACATACACAGTCACAGTCACACACACACACACATACACGGAATCTCAGGTATTTAACTTCCGTGTTCTGTGCTTTTCTGTGTAAATTCGTGGAGAGAGCACCCAGCAGTATCAGAGGCAGCCTTCTGTGGGTGCTGCCTGGAATCACTGGGCAGTTTTATGCTGTGAGCTGGATCACATCACATGGTAGTGTCCCAGAACTGGGAAGGCAGCTTGCTGCAGGGGGCCCCTGCAGGCTTCTTCAGGAGTGTGGGCTTTTTGCATGGAGGTGGAGGAGGCACTCTGGGCTCAGAGTGCTGCAGAATCTGCTGCCAGTCTTCTCCTTCCTCACAGAGCTTTCGCCTCCAGTCCAGGAGCTCCTGCAGGGCCACACTTTCATTCTCTGAGAGCCTCAGCTGATGGATAACCTGTGGGAGGAAAAAGGGGGGAGAGTAACACCAAATATGTATTGAGAATGAGCGAGATATATAATAGCAACACCTGGTTGTCACAGGACTGGACCAGGGTCAAAAGAGGCATCATTCATTCCCTATAAAACCCCCAGCACTCAGCAAATAGCATCCAACTGGGTTGGCTGTGAGCCGCTGAATTCAGAAGAATGGGGGGGAAAAATCAGTGGAACACTGAGGATAGGTGCACTGGTTGACAAGCGATACAAGAAAGACTTAAATGTCTGTTTGCACTCTATTATTACTTACACTAGAGGCCCGGTGCACGACATTCATGCATTGGGGGGCCGGGCAGTGGTTCCTCAGCCCTGTCTGCACCCTCTCACAGTCACGAACCCCTTGGGGGATGTCTGCCTGCCTGCTTAGGCCACTCCCCGCTGTCAGGTGGACATACCCTGAGGGGTCCTTAGCACTGTTGTGGAGGCGGGGGAGGCTCCTGCGACCACTGCTGCATTCGCCAGCTGTGAGCCCTGCTTCTGGCTGAGCAGTGCTCCCCCTGTAGGAGAGCACTGACCACAAGGGGGCAACTCCTGTATTGAGCATCTGCCCTCTGGTGGTCAGTGAGCATCATAGCGACCAGTTGTTCTGTCTTTTGGTTGATCTGCATATTAGCCTTTTATTATATAGGATTCTTATAGCACCTTGTACTTTCTCTTCATTTAACTTATTACAATTATAATTCTGTCTGATGTTCTTGGATTTCTCTAGGTTCGCCTCATTCTAGAATCCACTCAGTCTATGCACAGTTATTAGTCAATATCTTTTAAGGTAATGTGACACCTCTTACTCAAGAGGGCCCATTCATGGTCAATGTTAAGAGAGGATCACACTAATGTAGAAACTGGTTCCAACAGTTAGGTGTGGTGAGGGACAGCCACTAAAATATCAAACAAGCTCAGTGGAGGCAGGTAGTCATGCTTGAGAACATCTGCAACCCCACTGGTGTGTCATGCAGGCGCTATTTTGTGGCAGTGAATTCAAGCTATGACCTAAACTACCAGCTGTGTGCTCTCTCAGACCTTGAGGCCGCAGAGGTGGGAATTTTAGGGGCCTTTGCAGAAGAGGTTAGGAGGTCATAGAAGCCAGGAGGTCAAACCCATACCAAAATGTGCAGTTGTGGCAGCTACTTCCCCTCGTTTCCTTCGGGCATCTGAAGAGAGATGCCCTGGAGGCCAAGCTTTCCCCTGAGCTGGGGCACTTCAGGACAACCACGCTACGTGGACTGCCACGGGCCCCTCTTCTGCCAGCAGCCAGTAATCCATAACAGCTAGATATTGCAGAAACAGGTTTTTTTGTTTTGTTTTGTTTTTCCTGTCAATTCTAAAGTGAGTACGCTGGTTTAACAGAATGAGACTCTAGTCATAAACAATCCATGAGGATGGGAACACTGGGAGCATTTAGAGGAAATGAGATGGCTCATCCCACCTCCAACTGGCTACTTTGTGCCAGTGCCACCTCCATCCTCTTCATCAAGACAAAAGAGGATACAACAAAGCAGGATACAGATGGTTTCCTCTCCTGTGACAACAGGCACTTGAAAGAAGCACAGACGGTCCTTGTTCCAGGACAATTCTAAAACCAGCTCCTCCACCTGGCTGCCCCAGCCTATTGTTCGCCCAGGAGAAAGATTTTAAAGCCCAGAATCAAGCTGATGGGCAGAACATTGAGACACGCTGCTAAAACACAGAAGCCAGGGGGTCAAACCCATATCTAGTGTGCATAACTAGATTTCAGGAGCTGGGCTTTAGCAAAAGGAGTTCCCCCAAATTGACTTTAAAAACAAGCAGAAAAAAACAAAACAAAAAAACCTCCTAAGTGTGGAAGACAGGACTGTGATTGTCCAGGTCCTGAAGCAACCTCCAGGCATCAATAGAAAGGAAGCTGCTGAAACAGCATGCCCCACTTTAAAGGGTATTTCTCTCTAGCGTCCAGTACTGCACCAGAATGACTGGGAAAGGAGACATTCTCCTGCTGGGAAGACTCATGAAAGCCAGATTGCCTCTGCTGTTAGGGAAGTGAGCCAAGGAAGGGGGCCGGAGGGTGTGCAAAAAAACCCCATTTATTTAATAACACCTTAAAGTGCTAAATATGTGCCAGGTACTTTTCTAAGCACCTTATAAGTGTTAACTCATGCAGTCCTCCTAAGGACTCTACAAAGCATTTTGTGATGAGAAAACTGAGGCACAGAGAGGTTAAGTAATTTTTCCAAAGTCACTTGGAAAATTATGGGACCAGGCAGGCTGGCTCCAGAATCTACCTTCTTAATGATTACTCTACAGTGATTGTCACTTACTTAACAACTGTTATCCAGCACGCTAAAGACCAGGGTCTCTATATCACCTTCCTTTTCTTGTCTTTTTCTAAATGGCACTTGAGTAAAATCTGTATGTTTCCTCCATTAATATACTCTAGTGCCTCTATTTTTCCATCAGTGTATTCTGTGTTGATTACATTTAGCTTCAGTCTCATTCACTGTATATATTCAATGAATATATATATATATATATATATATATATATATATATATATATGCACTAGAGGCCTGGCGCACAAAAATTTGTGCACTGGAGGGGGGTCCCTCAGCCTGGCCAATGCCCTCTCGCAGAGTCTGGGACCCCTTGGGGGATGACCACCTGCTGGCTTAGGCCCGCTCCCCAGGGGATTGGGCCTAAGCTGGCAGTCAGACATCCTTAGTGCTGCTGAGGAGGTGGCAGAGGCTCCCACCACCACCGCTGTACTGGTAGCTGTAGCCTGGCCTGTGGCTGAGCAGAACTCCCCCTGTGGGAATGCACTGACCACCAGGGGGCAGCTCCTGCATTGAGCATCTGCCCCCTGGTGGTCAGTGTGTGTCATAGTGACCAGTCATTCCCAGTTGTTCTGCTGTTAGGGTTAATTTGCATATTACCCTTTTATTATATAGGATAGAGACCTGGTGCACAGGTAGGGGCTGGCTGGTTTGTCCTGAAGGGTGTCCTGGATCAGGGTGGGGGTCCTGCTGGGGTGCCTGGCCAGCCTAGGTGAGGGGCTGAGGGCCGTTTTCAGGCTGGCCACACCCCATTCAGGGTGGCAGGTCCTTCTGGGGTGCCTGGCCAGTCTGCGTGAGGGGCTGATGGCTGTTTGCAGGCTGGCCAAGCCCCCTAGTGGGGATCCTCACCCCATGAGGGTGTAGCCATCCTGGGTGAGGGGCTGATGGCTGCTTGCAGGCTGGCCACAGCCCCCAGCCACCCAAGCTGCCAGTGGAGGCTGGCTGGAAGCAGGTATCTGGGATTTATTTATCTTCTATAATTGAAACTTTGTTGCCTTGAGCTGAGGCCACAGCTGAGCAGGGCAGGCAGGAAGCTTGGCTTCCTCCATCGCTGGGGCAACCAAGTCTCCTGCTTGCTCCAGCTCCATGGCTGCCGGCTGCCATCTTGGTTGGGTTAATTTGCATATAGTCACTCTGATTGGCTAGTGGGCGTGGCTTGGGCGTAGCAGAGGTGCAGTCAATTTGCATGTTTTGCTTTTATTAATATATATATATATATTCATTCCTTGGCACACTTTCCTTATATAACAGCCATCTCTGAAAAATGCTATTACTGGGTTAATTTTATGAGAGAATATTTAATTGATGGAAGGGTACCTCTACCATCTAAGTTGGTTATTTCCCCCAAATTTCCTTGAAAACCATCTTTTTAAAGTAATAGAACTTCATGTTGATCTACAATATTTAGGAAAAAAAAAACAAGGAACTTCTTCTGCATTGAATATTGTAGGCCATGGAAGGTTATCACCCCATGGTAAAATGATAAAAAAGGGAATGAATTACAAAAATTATGTTTTTAAAACATCACAAAGCTCTAGCAAAACTGTGAACTAGAGAAACCACAGTTCTGGATGGAGCAAATCTTTCTGAGTAAACAATTACTAACTTCTTTTTTGTTACTTTCAAGGACATTTGCCAATTATGTTCTTCTGAGGTCTAGAGAGTCCATTATAGAAGAAAGAGATTATAAACAATATTTTGCAGGTGCATGGAACTAGAGAGACCAATTAAAACTTGAGAATCCTCAAATGCATGGGCATTTTCTCAAAGGGTCATTTGTTAAGTTCTTCAAATGTATGAATAAGTGGTGGCTTGGGCCAAAACCTTGTGTAAGAAGTAGAGTGAAATGTCTTACAACGACAGAAATGCTTTCAGAAGCAGAAATTTAACAGGGAGATGATAGCCTCAAGCACCTGACTAGTCTCATCTTAAAGACTTTTGGGCTTTAAGACTGAGTGGGGCACATGGCTGGAGACTTGAGCTCTCAACTACAGAGCTAGAGCTACTGTAATGTTTCAGTGCTAAGGGGCCTGTTAAGTTCTCAGTTTAAGCACAGGAAGGTGCAAGCTGAGGATCAGAGGACAATAAGAGGTAGACTGGTTCTCCAACACCACTGAATTTGTGATTGGATTGATGTGATCACCCTTGCCTTTTCTTCCTAACAAAGGATGGTGATAAACTTTTGTGTAGAAAACATCATCTATGGAATCTATTATTTACACACAATGCTTACCATGCAATCAGAAATTACTATACATGTTGAAGAGATAAGGAAATTTACCAAAATTCAAAAGATAAAACAGATTCACTGATGTTCCAGATTTAGAATTAGCAGATAAAAACTAAAATACCTATGATTAAATATTTAAGAGAACTGAGGGGAAAAAAGGCAAATGTAAGAAATAGCAGAATGAACATAAGCATAAAGGAGTATCTGAAATAGATGAGATACAAAGAATGTGGCCAAGCAATTGTCAAAGAGATGTTTCCAAAGCTCATTAATAGAATCAATTCACATTTTTAATCAGCTCAGTAAACCACACAAAAGATGAACACACACAGCATCACCAACAATAAGAAAATGCAAAGCATATCATATTAAAAATGCCAAAGACCAAAGACAAAAGAAAGAGTAAACTTTAAAAATCCAGAT